GACTTTTGAGCGAATATTAATTTTTTTAGAGTGCCGGCAATATGTGCTATTTTTCCAGTTTCGGCAGGCACGCAACTTGTGTCGAGAGGACCGAACTTCAATCAATCCCAGTTCAGTGATTGACTAAGTAAGGGCTTCGAAATCCCAGCTTATGAGAAAAATCGAATTTTCGAAGTAAATCAGTGGTCGGGTTTTACAGAGACAGCCTCTTAAATTCTGGGATCTTTTCTTTATCCCATGCTCTCTACATGCTAAGCCTTTGATCTTTCACTTGTTTGATGTAGGAAAGATTCACTCACGCAACAGTCCGAACATTGCTTGCTTAACAGCCGGCGGAAACGTAATAGATGAAAATGCTTACCCTGTCTGATCATTCAGGCGGGGCTTTACAGCTTTTTAGTGATTTATTGACGATATTAAGTTTCTGTCGCCAATGAGCTGAGGTAATCTAAAAATTACCCTTTCCTAAACTCCATTATCGGAGCTTATAGAAAAAAATCACCCTTAATCTAATATCATGCTTAGTCGGTTTATCACCGATCGTACGAATACTTTCCATAGTTGAGAGCTGTTTTCGTAAGCTGTGTTCAACACACTCTTAGATGAAATAATGTTTGTTTTCCCGTGCAGATGTGAAAGTCTTGGGGTCCGTGGTGCGAAATCGAAATCTCCTTGTAATCGAATTTAAATGTAAATGGACTTCAAAAACTTATTTAAACTACCTATTTTCTCACACCGTATCTGGGTGTGTGGCTGTCCTCGTTGCCAAAGAACAGGTTCCATGGAATGTCCATCATTCGAAGCCAATAACAGAGGAAGTTCTCCAGGCTTCCGTGAGGTGGTCAGACCTTCAAAAAGAATGAAAACGACTACTTACGAACAGAGTTACATAAGGTAATCGCACCTGCAGTTTTCATGGAATGAAGTGGCGAGGAGTATTTCCACCTCCCTACTCCCCCCAGCATGCTAGCTTTTGACTGGGTCTCCCCAGCTCCAGCATTACATTCGCCATTGCCCATTCAAAAACCTGTTAGAGGGAGGTAGTGTCAGTGTTAAGTGTCTTGTCCAAGAAAACAAGACCATGACTGCGGCCACAGCTCTGACCCGAAAGGTTTGACTAAGGGTCTACGAACCATCAAATCCCTGTGTCTCCCACAAAGAAAGACTATTTGGGGTTAACCCAAGTTTGGCTAGATATATCAACAACATGTTCAGCCAGAAGAGAATGAACATACCCTTAAACCGTACTTCTGGTACGGCAGCGCTTCCTGCAGAGGGATCTGCATGGGCCACGAAGTCTTCACTGTCAAGAAAAACTGCTTCAGACTTCCATTTGTAAACCAGGCGAAGCCTTAAAACTGTTTCTGGCTTTGTGGAGACCACGGTACGAACCGTTAAGTGACACGGGGTTACCTGAGACTCTTTCCAGTCCACCAATTCTTGCAGTTCTGGTTCTTCTCTGAGGTCATCTAGCAACGATTCGAGTTTTAGCTTTTGCGTTGAACAAAGGACCACCTGAATATTTTGCGAATCCTTATTAACGTCCACTTTTGTCACAGCGATATCACTAACCGCTACGCGAGTCTTGCATGTTTCAAAGCAAGTGTCAAACGTTTTTTCTTCACACACAGGAAGCCTGATCACGGATTGGAATGCTCCTATCTGGCCATCGTGAATTTGCTCTTTAACAGGAACTCGAGCAACAACACGAAGCAGTAGCTCTCCTTCTTCGTCTTTTCGAAAGCAGAACAGCTGAGAGAATGTGTCATTTTGACAGTCGTACCTTATGCCCTCACTTCCCCACGTCACCGGTGAATTCGCGGAGTCTGTGAGTTCGAATCTCACCAATTTAGCCGGGTCAAACTTGGCAAAATGTACCAGGCTGAACGAAACATCGTAAAAACCAAGCATAAAAACGTGGTCAGCATCTACCACATCTGACATAATGTCCCTTGTGCAACGCGAAAACAGCTCTAACCTCTTGTGTAACCGGACATCTTCGGGAGATTTCTGGAAAAATGACTGGAGAAATTCCAACATGGACCAAATACCTAGACTTTCCCCCCACTTTCTAAAAACAGCGGGGTGTTGGTTGTCACAGTTGTTAACGCACAGCTCCTCGAGAATCTTGCACACCTCACACACGAGTTGCCGGATTTTGCTCTCTCTTTCGGCTTCTCTAAGTTGAGAGGCCAGTCGATCCAAGGTATCCTTGGACAGTCCTCTCAAGCCATTTTGCACATCTGGAATCATTTGATCACGAAAGATGGCTTTAATGTCTTGAATGAGGTGGGGAACAAAGTCCAGGAAATTCGTAGCGATGGGTTCTTTAGTCGATGAACACATCTGTTGATATTTCGACGCAGTGTCGTGAGATATCTTCTGGCAAACGTCAAGATAATTTGCATGCTCTTCCGACGAGGCTGCTCTTTCTGCTTCCTCAGCGGATCTCGCCAACTGGATGCAGCAGTCTGTTAGAATCGTTTTGCATAAAGATTTAATTTTATCAGTGAAATACCTCATCAAATCAACGTCCTCGCGTTTCAACTCCTGGATCTTGACTCCAAGTTCTCTCAGGTGTCTTATGTGCATCTGGCCTCTTTGTGTTACTTTGTAGTCTAGAAACAGTCAAAATAGGATTAAGATTATCATCGGTTTTGACTCTTTGATATGGGCTATACTGTCTTTTGGATTTGCTGAGGTAGCACATTTAAGGAATTTTAGAATGTTCACTAACGTCTTGGCATGCCCAAGTGATGAAAACGAAAAATTTGTAATAAATTCGACACCAACTTGGGGGATAAAAGTCTTTCTGGCACGCAGGTTGTCAAAGGAGACAACTCACCTTCTTCTTTCAAATTCTCAAGACCTTTCCTTAGTTTATCAAGATCTTCTACCTGGCTTCTCTCCTTGCCCCAGGGTTGCAAGAGTGCTTTCAGCTGGTCATCTTCATTTTTCCAAATCTTCATGATCTCACTGGTTTCCTCTTCGGGCATCCCAATCTCTTGCGCAATGGGTTTAAGGTTAAAAATGGCTCCCTCTACCCGCAGTAGGCGCTTGACATAACCACACAGATCTGTAATGAAGGTGCAGATGTAGGTCACTTCCAATCATTGGCGGTAATTGAGTTTTGATAGGGTTTCAGTTCAACGTAATGTCATGTTTTAATTAACGAAAGGGTCTAAAAATGCAAGCTTGTCAAGATACAAAGAATAATCTTCCTCATGCATTTCCACTCACCCTCATAAACACTCAGACAGCTTCATTAGAACTGCTTGCGATTTTATTACGGAGTATCCTCAGATTACTGACAGAAACTACATTTACTCTTTCACTGTACTCTCCACCAAAACTACATTCTGCATTGTCGCATTAGGAAAAGGGATAGATCTTGGTTTTGATGAATTCGGGGATTGTAGGAGGCAGAAGGCTAAGCAGCGCTAACATTTTATGTCTTTTATTCTACTTTCTGCAGCATTAAGTAACTGGTAGTATTATGCCTCTAATAAATGGAATACTGCCCATGTTCAGAATTATTCTTTAGTATTAATGTTTAACGCTTGCTAAGTATTTTGCCTAAGAAACCGGCAACAGCACAAGAAGCCGCTCCTTCGGTCAGGTTTTTTAGTCTGTGATCTATTTGACGTCATTTTGCCATCATGCTCATACCGTACGCCTTCACGAATAATTATAAAAGATTGCAAAGATTATGAAGAGGCAATTCTAATTTACAGGCCCACTAGATACCATTCTTTTAAGCTGAGCCAAAAACACCTGCTAATCGATACTGAAAAGGAAAACAATCATTGCAATAAACTTTTCCTAAGCTTGAATCTAGCAAATATACCATTTTTCCTATGTAGCAGTTGTGCCTTTGTTCTTCGTCTTAAAAAATACTTAACAAGACACGTTTCGTGTTGTGCCTTTCCCAGGATCCCCGACCTTAATGCGTGCTGACAATACTCAATACTCTATTTTTGATCAATAAAGAGCAAGACCAAAAGAGAGAAACTTTTTGAAGTGATTTTGGCCATTGTCCACTTGTCTAGCCTACCTTGTTCGCAGAATTGGTATGCGCCGTTGTGTCCATGCTCTCCTTCGACACTGATTTGGGCAACTTTTGCAAATTTTTGGGGCAACTTTTGAGAGATATCCGAGCAACTTGTGTAAAAGCCTACCAGTGAAAAAGAAGCAAAATCCGAGTCCCATTTTGTCCCTTATCTTCAGGGCCTTCCTTAATCGCTATTCAACGGGTTGGCTGGACGATGGAACAGTCAAAATGCAAAATCGGGTAAAATCTTTGATTATTGATCTCCAGACAGGACGCTTTCGACATTACCGATCTTAGCAATATATATTTATAACACGCTCTAGAAACTACAGCCAACCAGAATACAGGAAAGCCGTTGTATATTCGTTGTATATTCGTACAGTTAATCTTCCCATCGTGCGCTGCGCGTGTCGCATTCCGGACTGTGTCGGCCACTTTTGTTTTCTATGGGATGGTAATAAAATAGCAATGCAACACTTTCTCATATAGGATACCATGGAATATTCCATTTGCCAATTGTATTTTCTCGGTATACAGGTGTGAGTGATTCGTGGATTATTCCATGGTATGTCACTAAAAGCGTTGGATAACTAATTTATACGCAGACAGCCCATCACATAACAACCTAGTACACTGTACATCTCCCGGTAGGGTTTAAATTCTGGTATCTTTTCTTTGTCTCGTGCTCTCTACGTGCTGAGCCTTTGATCTTTCACTTGTTTGATGTAGGAAAGATTTTCATGCAACAGTCCGCGTCTGAACATTGCTTGATTGTCAGCTGGCGGAAACGTAAATGGATGAAAATTCTCACCCTGTCTGATCATTCAGGCGGGGCTTTACAGCTTTTTGGTGATTTTTTTTAACGATGGTAAGTTTCTGTCGCCATTGAGCTGAGGTAATCTAAACATTACTCTTTCCTACGTATACTAACTCCATTATCGGAGCTTAGAAAAATATATCACCTTTAATCTAATATCATGCTTAGTCGGTTTATCACCGACCGTAGGTATACTTTCCATAGTTGAGGGCTGTTTTCGTAAGCTGTGTTCAACATACCCTTACATGAAATAAGAAATGTTTGTTTTCCAGAGCAAATGTGAAAGTCCGGGGCTGCGTGGTGCGAAATCGAAATCTCCTTGTTATCGAATTTAAACGTAAACGGACGACAAAAACTTATTTAAACTACCTATTTTCTCACACCGTATTTGGGTGTATGGATGTCCTCGTTGCGAAAGAAAAGGTTCCATGGGGTGTCCATCATCCAAAGCCAATAACATAGAAAGATCTTCAGGCTTCCGTGTGGTGGTCAGACCTTGAAAAAGAACGAAAAAGACTTCTTACGAAGAGTTACATAAGGTAATCGTACCTGCAGTTTTCATGGAATGAAGCGGCGAGGAGTATTTCCACCTCCCCAATATAATCCCCCCAGCATGCTATACTAGCTCATGGTAGGGTCACCCCAGCTCCAGCATTACATTCGCCATTGCCCAGTCAAAAACCTGCTTGGGGGAGGTAGTGTCAGTGTTAAGTGTCTTGTCCAAGAAAACAAGACCATGACCCCAGCCACAGCTCAGACCCGAAGGGTTTTGACTAGGAGTCCACGACCCATCAAATCACTGTGTCTCCCACGAAGAAAGACTATTTGAGGTTAAACTAAGTTTGGCTAGATATATCAACAACATGGTCAGTCACAAGAGAATGAACATACCCTTAAACCGTACTTCTGATACGGCAGCGCCTTCTGCAGAGGGATCTGCATGGGCCACAAAGTCTTCACTGTCAAGAAAAACTGCTTCAGACTTCCATTTGTAAACCAGGCGAAGCCTTAAAACTGTCTCTGGCTTTGTGGGGACCACGGTACGAACCGTTAAGTGACACGGGGTTACCTGAGACCCTTTCCAATCCACCAATTCTTGTAGGTCTGGTTCTTTTATGAGGACATCTAGCAGCGATACGAGATTTGGCCTTTGTGTTGAAGAAAGAGCCACCTGGATATTTTTCGTTTCTTTAACTTCTAGTTTTGTGACAGCGATGTTATTAACCGATACACGGGTCATGCAAGTGTCAAGGCACGCGTCAAAAGTTTTCTCTTGAGATACAGGAAGCGTGATCACGGACTGGAAAGCTCCTATTCGGTAGATTTGCCCTTTAACATGAACGCGTGCAAAAACACGAAGCAGTAGCTCTCCTTCCTCGTCTTTTCGAAAGCAGAACAGCTGAGAGAATGTGTCATTGTGACAGTCGTACTTTACGCCCTCACTTCCGCACGTCACCGGTGAATTCGTGGAGTCTGTGAGTTCAAATCGCACCACTTTAGCCGGATCAAACTTGGCAAAATGTATCAGACTAAACGAAACATCGAAAAAACCAAGCATAAAAACTTGGTCATCAGCATCTACCACATCTGACATGATGTCCCTTGTGCAACGCGAGAACAGTTCTAACCTCTTGTAAAATCGGGCATCTGCGGGAGATTTCTGGAAGAATGGCTTGAGAAATTCCAACATGGACCAAATCCCTAGACTTTCCCCCCACTTCCTAATCAGATCAGCGGGGTGTTGGCTGTCACAGTTATTAACACATAGCTCCTCGAGAATCTTGCACACCTCACATACAAGTTGCCTGATTTTGCTTTTTCTTTCGGCTTCTCTAAGCTTAGACCCCATTCGATCCAGGGTATCCTTGGACAGTCCTCTCAAGCCATTTTGCACATGTGGAATCATTTGATCACGATAGATGGCTTTAATGTCTTGAATGAGATGGGGAACAAAGGCCAGGAAATTCGAAGCGATGGATTCTTTAGACGATGAACACATCTGTTGATATCTCGACGCAGTATCGTGAGATATCTTCCGGTAAACCTGAAGATAATCTGCATGGTCTTCCGACGAGGCTGCTCTTTCTGCCTCTTCGACGGATCTCGCCAACTGGATGCAGCAGTCTGTTAGAATCGTTTTGCATAAAGATTCAATTTTACTACTGAAATACCTCATCAAATCAACGTCCTCGATTTTCAACTCCCGGATCTTGACAGCAAGTTCTCTCAGGTGTCGTATGTGCATCTGGCCTCTTTGTGTTACTTTGTAGTCTAGAAACAATCAAAATAATTTAAAGATTATCATCGGTTTTGACTCTTTGATATGGGCTATATTATCTTTTGGATTTGCTGAGGTAGCACATTTAAGGTTTTTGAGAATGTTCAATTCACTAACTCATTGGCATGCGGAAGTGATGAAAACGGGACTTTTGTAATAGATTCGACACTAATTGGTGGAAAAAAGTCCTTCTGGCACCCAGGTTGTCAAAGGGGACAACTAACCTTCTTCTTTCAAATTCTCAAGACCTTTCCTTAGTTTATCAAGATCTTCTAGCTGGCTTCTCTCCTTGTCCCAGGGTTGCAAGAGTGCTTTCAGCTGGTCATCTTCGTTTTTCCAAATCCTCATGATCTCACTGGTTTCCTCTTCGGGCGTCCCAATCTTCTGCGCAATGGGTTTAAGGTTGAAAATGGCTCCCTCTACCCGCAGTAGGCGCTTGACATAACCACACAGATCTGTAATGAAGGTGCAGATGTAGGTCACTTCCAATCGTTGGCGGTAATTGAGTTTTGATAGGGTTTCAGTTCAACTCAATGTCATGTTTTAATTAACGAAAGGGTCTAAAAATGCAAGCTTGTCAAGATACAAAGAATAACCTTCCTCGTGCATTTCCACTCGCGGCTTCATAAACACTCAGATAGCTTCATTAGACCTGCTTGCGATTTTATTACGGCGTATCCTCAGATTACTGACAGAAACAACATTTACTCTTTCACTGTACTCTCCACCAAACCTACATTCTGCATTGTCACATTAGGAAAAGGGATAGATATTGGCTTTGATTAATTCGGGGATTGTAGGAGGCGGAGGGCTAAGCAGCGCTAACATTTTATCTCTTTTATTCTACTTTCTGCAGCATCAAGTAACTGGTAGTATTATGCCCCTAATAAATGGAATACTGCCCATATTCAGAATTATTCCTTAGCATTAATGTTTTACGCTTGCTAAGTGTTTTGCCTAAGAAACCGGCAACAGCACAAGAAGCCGCTCCTCCGGTCAGGTTTTTTACTCTGTGATCTATTTGACGTCATTTTGCCATCATGCGCATACCGTACGCCTTCACGAATAATTATAAAAGATTGCAAAGATTACGAAGAGGCAATTCTAATTCACAGGCCCACTAGATACCATCCTTTTAAGCTGAGCCAAAAACACCTACTAATCGATACTGGAAAGGAAAACAATCATTGCGATAAACTTGTCCTAAGCTTGAATCTATCAAATACCATTTTTCCTATGTAACAGTTGTGCCTTTGTTTTTCGTCTTCAAAAATACTTAACAAGACACGTTTCGTGTTGAGTCTTTCCCAGGATCCCCGACCTTAATTCGTGCTGAGAATACTCAAAGCGTTGTCTAACAAAGACAATACTCTATTTTTGATCAATAAAGAGGAAGACCAAAAGAGAGAAACTTTTTGAAGTGATTTTTGCCATTGTACACTTGTCTAGCCTACCTTGCTCGCAGAATTGGTATGCGCCGTTGTGTCCATGCTCTCCTTCGACACTGACCTTTCCACATAGGATTCTGACATCTTTAATCGCTACCATCGGAATTCTGATCACATGTCCAGTGCTCCACCAAACATGTGATTTTACAATGACGTCTCTACTACTCAGTTGATTTGTAGCCAATTTATAGTCTTCCCCAAGACGGACAGAAACTTGAAGATTTTCGCCGTTGAAGATTTGCTTGTCGGTCGGTCCGTCAGCGGAATGCAGCAGCTTAAATCCATCTTTGCTCAGTTGCACCAATGCTGAAGCATCGTGTTCTTTGTAGTATGGTTCATGGAAGATGTCTTGACTCATGAATACCAGGGCTAACTCATGCTCAAATGAATTTTCTTTGAACAATACTGACATTGTATAAGTGAATGGTGACAGGTTAAGCCGCGATACAATCTCTTTGGTACGGATCTGAGTCAATTTCCACAGATTCCAAATGAGCGAAAATCTTTCAATTTCAATGCTCACTTCTTTCTTTGTCACATTCGTGACTGAATTTTGACTAATGTCCAGCCAAGAGATCTTTCCGTCTCTACCTTCTGTGCCGTGCAAAACAAGAAGGCGTTCATTCCCTTTATCGATCGGCTTAATCTTAGTTGTCAATGTTACAGGTTTCTGAAACAAGTGGCCATTTGGGTGAAGAGTAACGATCGGAGAAGCAAACATGATTTCGTTTTCCAGCCTCTTTTGTACTATCAAGCCATAGTACTTCACAGGGTCCTCCAGAGCAATATTTACATACACTGGATTATCAACAGCTCCAGGGGAGCAGACGAGTCGGACACCATCTGCAGACACCTCACCACCTTCGCTGGTAATTATGCCAGATGCAGCCTTGCTTGTCTTCCAAAGCTGTCTTTCCTCTGCATCCTCCTGCAAAGTACCTTTTGATTTAGGAACAAAGGCCAAAGTTTAGTAGGATTACGATAGAGAATCTAGAACTAACGTATATTGAAAGCACCTAAAGACAGTCGTGTTTTTGCATCATCAAGTTAAATGCATAGAAATAGTCATTTGGAATGGAGGTCCTCTTTGACAAAGGATACGCACAAAATATTATATTTCAAGTTATGAAGAAGAACATCCACTCCAAGAGACATGTACTGGGCTTAATATTTTTTATGGAAAAAATTGCAATTTCCACAAAAGGTGTGTTTGTGTTGTTCGTTGCACTCGTTATAGAAGCGTTGCATTCCTGATTGGTCCACGGCCTTACCTTGGAGTAGCTAACAAAGAAATTTTTGTTTTCTATAGCTTTCATATTTGTAACGAGAAATGACAAATTCCTGAGCAGTGTAAGCCATTTTCACACAAGTTGCGCGTGTTTCAAGTTAACTCCGATGGTTACCTTTTTGTTTAGATGAGTCACTCGGTGAATCTTCAGTTTGTTCTGGTCCTACCTGCAAATCAGAGAGAGAAATATATACTGCTTAGGCTAACCAATGCCCTAAAGGCTTATTTTATAAGTAACTACGAGAAGATCCAAAACCTAACATTGATGTCATAATTCGAAGACTATGCATATGAAACTTTCAGTTATAACAGTCACTTTGCATGGTCAGGGTACCTTCAAGCCTTATAAGCGCGTTGTTGAGAATAAAAACTAGTAAATACACAAGAACCAACAATCGCTCTGCACGTTTGGGTTATTTGTGATACGGTGTTGTGGCACAAAAGGTAGAACAATAACAATAAATTGTCTGGTTCTTGTTGTTTTATTTAAAACGCACAACAATTTCTTACCTGTTTGGCAGGAAATTGGTTATCAGGGGTAGGTTCTTGTGGGTCGTGCAAGCTTCTTTCTTGCATTATTTCACACCTATATGGTTTAAAAGAATATAGAAATGATGCCGTTGGTTCTTAACTTTTGTTTAAAAAAATTGCTGCATTTGCTAATAAAAGCTTACATATTGACGATACATCAAGCTAATTAGGGAATAAATTCTTCCAATATGGAGAAAGTAAAACTATTAGATACATATAGGTACTATTCCGTCCGCAAGCAAGTGAACAACTTGCAACTTAATTATCAACTTGTAGTGAACGTGAAAGCTCATGAATGTCTTGAGCGTGATAGCCCTTCGCCATGCTTCTTTGGAGACAAATACCCTAAATTGTAACTGATTTTCATTTAGTTTATCTGTTTAAGTTAAGTTTTAGAGGTCGATTTGATGTCTTCAATTTGATATCTTCTTTATATCTTCTGCAACAGCAGCTGCCAGATTTTTTTTTAATTTCACTGTTTGACTCCTAACAATCATGTTATTGATAACAAGACTTTTCAATGGAATTGCATCATAAATTTTCATAATGCCCAACCTAGCTGTCTGGAGACAGAATTCATTGACCGATGAAGAGAATTTTGTTACCAGACTGAACAATGCGTATAGTTCTTAGCAGATTCGGTCTTTTGAGATAAACGAGCTAGCACGTACTTGTTCATCGATGTTTCCTCCGACACGTTAGTCTTGGTTACTTCCTGCGACTGAACTTGAAGTATTTCTTGCGACTCAGTCTTGTCAACGTCGCCCATACCTCCACCACGTTCTGCAACACCAATGTCAACACCAATGTCGACGTGATCTGCTCTGGCACTGGGTATTTGTACACTGACCACAGATCCTTAATTAAAGGCAACGAATTTTTAAAGTTAACATTCACCACCTGTGTTATGTCTTGCATTCTAGTCATCATGGTACTGAGATTCTAACAGCGATTCTTGCATCAGATGTCAGACGAGTTACTATTTACGCAATCTCGTTCCCAGAGTCTTCATTCCCCTTGACCAGCGGTCGGAAAACGAGAGCTCTGGGAGCAACCATTTCAGGCATGCGCAATAGATGCAGACTGCGCAGTGAAACCGGATAGGCAGAATCACCAGAATTCGGTTATTTCAAAATGTTGCTCCCAGAGCTCTCGTTTTCCGACCGCTGGTCAAGGGGAACGAAGACTCTGGGAACGAGATTGCTATTTACGAGCAACATACATGTATATTTAGAGCCAGACTTCGTATGAGACTGCGCGTAATGGCTGATCGACCGTAAATGACTTGAATATAACCGATTGCCTGTTTTCCTTAGGTTTGTGGTTGTTTATTTATGTACTAACTACGGCCTCAGTCTTACAGTGGCTGAATTTGATTGACAAAGTGAAGAATAATAACAATAATTACCTGGGAGCGAGTTGCCCTGATTTGCCTGTAAAGAAGAAAATGTCCCTCTCTTGACTTTCTAAAAAATATCAAATAAATTGTATTCTATAAAACGCATTTTCCAGTCAACTAATGAACTAATTAGTTTTTGGATAGATTAGAGCAGTCGCTTCACTTGCTAATTATATAGGCATCAGTATCAATCGGAACAAAAGCATGCACAGCGGAAAGCTGTCAGTCGAACAATAATGCACTTTTGACAGTGCCGCATAGACCAAATATCTGTGCTTTGCTCTCATTTTAAACGCTTATGCTAAAGCTAATTTAGTTTGTGATTACTGATGCAGTTCGCATTCCAAAACAATAAGAAATTCGTACCTCGAAAATTATCTTGTATTTCTCTCTCCTTTTTTCATCACCCTGTTTCGCCGCGAGTTGTTGAAGCGCCTGAAGGATGTCAATCTTGTCCTGAGTTCTCATTGTTTCCTTCTTCTCTTCCCATTGCCGTTCAAGAAATTCAAGCTGCTCACCTTCGTATTTCTTGAGCATTTCTTTCTCGCGAAGCTTCTTACAGAGATATAATATGTTCTGCAAAATGTCTTCTCTCTCTTGGCGGGGAAGTTGTTGAAGGTCTGGGGACTTCCAAGCCATTTCATAAAACCGCAGAGCTTCCTTCTCATACTTCTTAACCATTTTCCTATCTCCAGATCCACTGAGCAGTTGGTTTATCTCATCGATGATGCTCTTGTTAGCGTAGGAGAACTCTTCTTCTTCTGCCCACAAGCGTTGATAAAACTCCAAAGCTTCATTCTGAAACGCTTTCTTCCTCTCGCCAGCAAGGATGGCAGTGTAGTCCCGCACAATCCTGTCCCTCACTGCACTGTGGTTGCCATACTCTAGGGATTTCTCAATTCTCCAAGCCTCGGCATAAAATTCTTCAGCCTCAGCATAGTCGTCCTGGCTCCTACAGATTAGTCCAACTTGAAATGCACTTCTCGCCGTGTCAGGATGATCCCCCAAGATGTCTTTTCTTATCTCGTAAGCATCCATTGCTGCCTTGTAGGCTTTCTCAAAATCCCTTTTCCAGGCGTAAGCATTGGCGATGTTTCTGTGAAAGAGTGCTAAACGCAAGATTCCTGAAAGTTTCAGTTCTTTAGAAAGCTCAAGTGCCTCTTGATAGCACTGGATGGCTTTGTCGTATTGTTTTTGTCCCTCGTAAACAGTGCCGATCTGGCCCTTGTAAAATGGCAAATCCAAATGATTCTTTGAACCTGAAAGCTTTCTTCTCATTTCATAAGCCTTTGTATAAAACTTTAAAGCTTCTTCGTGGTTGCCAAGCCGGTTGTGACAATTTCCAATTGCATTTAAACATCTTGTTGTAATTGTGTGGTTCTGCAAGAGGTCTTCCATTATTTCTCTAGAAAGGTACAAACTTGTAAGCGCTCTTTGCAGACTTCCTTTTCTGTAGTAAATTTCACCTTCAACATACAGGTATGTACTTTGAGCTAACCTATAAGANCTGGATGGCTTTGTCGTATTGTTTTTGTCCCTCGTAAACAGTGCCGATCTGGCCCTTGTAAAATGGCAAATCCAAATGATTCTTTGAACCTGAAAGCTTTCTTCTCATTTCATAAGCCTTTGTATAAAACTTTAAAGCTTCTTCGTGGTTGCCAAGCCGGTTGTGACAATTTCCAATTGCATTTAAACATCTTGTTGTAGTTGTGTGGTTCTGCAAGAGGTCTTCCATTATTTCTATAGAAAGGTACAAACTTGTAAGCGCCCTTGGCAGACTTCCTTTTCTGTAGTAAATTTCACCTTCAACATACAGGTATGTACTTTGAGCTAACCTATAAGACCGGCTGTCTTTCAAATTCTTGTAGGCCATCTGCAATGAATTCTCTGCCATTTTCAAGACTTCCATGGCCCACTTCCAGCCCTGCAGTCCTAGAACTTGCATCGCTTCGAAGCATCTAAGTTCTGAGCGGGAAAGAGAACCTAAAAGATATCAAATAAACTTAAGACCCTTTCGGAACCAAAATTCACTTGTACAAAGTTCAAAAAAGAAGTAACAGTTTTTCGCGCCATCTCTTCGGTATGCTCTGTTACAATGATTATAATCAATAAAACAATACCTTCTTTCAGCCACAATTGCTGGGGCGGGGAGAAGAGCACTAACTCTCCCCCCTCCTCCACAGGAGCTTATCCACTTTTATTGTTCTTTAGTCTCTGCTAGTAGGCTTTGCTATTTTTAAAGTAACTTGTCACTAGAGGAATTAGAAAGGGACGTTTGAGGCGAGGGGGCATCCAAGGCCACAGATCACGGCATTAATTAACACAGTGTTTGAATAAGTTTCCCTCATATTACCTGACATTTTTAGCGACAGTTTTACTGACATACTCCTTGAACCATACTTTTTTTAGGCGTCAAAAAGCAGCGTTTAGTGCGATTATTATGCATTTGTGGGACGTAAAGCGTCAATGGATGACGATTCTGGATCTGAGGTATGACCTTCAGAGCACCTGTGCTTTGAGACCTGCTCTTTGCCATGGACAATTTAATCTCGCATTGCCGTTCTCCAACGAAGTAGGAGACGTAGAATGAGCAAAACGAAATGGTAACTTGCAATGGTAAAATTGGCTTAATTATCCCTACCTTCCTTTCCATCTTCATCTGCTGCTTCTGCCCAAGATTTGAAAATCTTCCTTCTCTGCTGGCTGTCTTCAACCATGGCTTCAACTAGGTAGCAATCCATGATTGACTTGCGAAAGTCTTTCGCAACATGTAAGTAATCTGATTTAAAGGGAATGTCTAAAGCAAGCTGAAAGTTAGCCTTATCTTGGTCAAAATGCTCGAACGCGGTCACATAGTCTTCGTCTTGCATTGCAGCAATGCCCTCCATCTTCGTCATGTACAACTTACAGAATCTATCTTTGGCTTTGGCGTACACTTGCTTGAAAACGGGGCCATTTCCAACACTTTCCAGAAAGCTTCGCATCAATGGATGGATATCGTAGAGGACCTCCTTCGCCTCAGGATCTACGGATAAAACATTCCTACTTCTCAAGCCCTCCAGAAGGATGACTGCTTCGGATGATTCTGCATCAAGGATAAAAGCAGCAGCTTCCTCGGAGAATGGACGGCGGAACAGTGACAATGCCACTGCGGAGTTTCTGAAAGTGGCACTTGGAAGTAGAAAGAACATCTTCCTGAAGCATGACAATTGCTCTTTATCAATCGATTCACTAATACTATCCCATGTTTTCTCTTCCTGCGTGTCATGTTCTGCTGATGGAGTTGCCTTTTCTTGAGATTCCATAATCGCTAGCTCATGTTCAGTCGTTCCAAGAAGCTTTTCAGCAGTTTCGATTCCTTGCCTTAAAATGGGTGTTATGACCTCAAAGACAAGTGGCTTTCCTTTACACAATTCCACCAGTTTCTCCATTTGACGAATTCCCATTGAAAATCCAATTGCTGATTGAAGAATCTCCTTAGAAATTCCTCTCTTCAAAGCCTTGAGCTCATGGTACTGAACCTGTCCATCAAGGGACATCCCGTGGAAACGTGTTCTCGGTCTTGATATCAACAGTACCTTCAATCGTGGCTTTTCNCAAATCCAAATGATTCTTTGAACCTGAAAGCTTTCTTCTCATTTCATAAGCCTTTGTATAAAACTTTAAAGCTTCTTCGTGGTTGCCAAGCCGGTTGTGACAATTTCCAATTGCATTTAAACATCTTGTTGTAATTGTGTGGTTCTGCAAGAGGTCTTCCATTATTTCTCTAGAAAGGTACAAACTTGTAAGCGCTCTTTGCAGACTTCCTTTTCTGTAGTAAATTTCACCTTCAACATACAGGTATGTACTTTGAGCTAACCTATAAGATCGGCTGTCTTTCAAATTCTTGTAAGCTATCTGCAATGAATTCTCCGCCATTTTCAAGACTTTTGTGGCCCACTTCCAGCCTTGGAGTCCTAGAACTTGCATCGCTTCGAAGCATCTCAGTTCCGCGCGGAAAAGAGAACCTACAAGATATCAGATAAACGTAAGACCCTTTCGGAACCAAAATTCACTTGTAAAAGAAACAAAGTTGAAAAAAAAGTAACAGTTTTTCGCGCCATCTGTTCGTTATGCTCTGTTATATTATAATCAATCAAATAGTACCTTCTTTCAGACACAATTGGTTGGGTGGGGGAAAGAGCACTAACCTCCCCCTGTTCCTCCCAGGAGCTTATCCACTTTTATTGTTCTTTAGTCTCTGCCAGGCTTTGCTATTTTTAAAGCAACTTGCCACCAGAGGAATTAGAAAATGACGTTTGAGACGAGGGGAGGCCACAGATCACGGCATGAATTAACACAGCGTTTGAATAAGTTTTCGACATGACATTTTAGTGACAGTTTTAGATATTTCTTGAACCATACTCTTTTAGACGTCAGAAAGTAGCGTTTAGCGCGATCATTATACATTTGGGCGACGCACAGCACCAATGGATGACGATTCTGGATCTAAGGTATGACCTTCAGAGCACCTGTGCTTTGAGCCTTCTTTGGCATGGACAATTTAATCTGGCATTGCCGTTCTCCAACGAAGTAGGAGACGTAGAATGAGCAAAATGAAATGGTAACAACTTGCAATGGTAAAATTGGCTTAATAATCCCTACCTTCCTTTCCATCTTCCTCTACTGCCTCTGCCCAAGATTCGAAAATCTTTCTTCTCTGCTGGCTGTCTTCAAGCATGGCTTCAACCAGGTAGCAAACCATGATTGCCTCGTGAAATTCTTTCGCAACATGTAGGTAATCTGACTTGACGGGAATGTCTAAAGCAAGCTGAAAGTTAGGCTTGTCTTGGTCAAAATGCTGGAACGCGGTCATATAGTCCTCGTCTAGCATTGTTGCAATGCCCTCGATTTTCGTCATATACAACTTACAGAATCTATCTTTGGCGTTCGCGTACACTTGATTGAAAACAGAGCCATTTCCAACACTTTCCAGAAAGCTTCGCATCAATGGATGGATATCGTAGAGGACCTCCTTCGCCTCAGGATCTACGGATAAAACATTCCTACTTCTCAAGCCCTCCAGAAGGATGACTGCTTCGGATGATTCTGCATCAAGGATAAAAGCAGCAGCTTCCTCGGAGAATGGACGGCGGAACAGTGACAATGCCACTGCGGAGTTTCTGAAAGTGGCACTTGGAAGTAGAAAGAACATCTTCCTGAAGCATGACAATTGCTCTTTATCAATCGATTCACTAATACTATCCCATGTTTTCTCTTCCTGCGTGTCATGTTCTGCTGATGGAGTTGCCTTTTCTTGAGATTCCATAATCGCTAGCTCATGTTCAGTCGTTCCAAGAAGCTTTTCAGCAGTTTCGATTCCTTGCCTTAAAATGGGTGTTATGACCTCAAAGACAAGTGGCTTTCCTTTACACAATTCCACCAGTTTCTCCATTTGACGAATTCCCATTGAAAATCCAATTGCTGATTGAAGAATCTCCTTAGAAATTCCTCTCTTCAAAGCCTTGAGCTCATGGTACTGAACCTGTCCATCAAGGGACATCCCGTGGAAACGTGTTCTCGGTCTTGATATCAACAGTACCTTCAATCGTGGCTTTTCTTCATTGGCCATGTGATCAAGGAGTCTC